CCCGCGGATGACCCGCAAGCGGGCCGGGTGTCCCCGCCGCGCCCCCCAGGGCGGGAGGGAGCCACCTGCGGGCAGTCCCACCGCGGAATGCTGATGCCAGCCCCAGGGCGGGAGGGGTCGAGGGGGCGGCAGTCCGCAGCCCCGCTCAGCCCAGCCCAGTCAAGCCCAGCCCAGCGGCTCTCGGGCACCGGGGAGCTGCCCACGGTGCGCCAACCCCCGGCATGCCACAGCCACCTCAGCGTGCTCCAGACATCCACCTCAGCCGCAGGATGGCTATGTCCATGCTGCCTGCAGGCTGTCAGCCCTGGCTAGCAGCTGGCATCATGTTAGGATCACTCCAACGTTAGTGTGGTGGGCCCCCGGGGCGGCCACAGCCTGAGAAACCCCAGATAGCCAAGATGTGCTATGCTGTGCTGTACTGTGCCACCTTGTAGGCCCAGGCTTGCTTGAGCAACTTGTGTTTCTGCATTGGCTTCAGCTCAGTGAAGCTCAGAGCAACAGTTTCTGCCCCTGCCACCCATGCCCCTTAGCAGAGGGGTTTGCGTGAGGTTAAGGAATTCATTGTTATGGAGACTGAAACAGCAACAAAGCCAGGGGTCAGAAACCTGCTAAAACAGAGCTCTTGCAGAGAGGAGCATCGCTCTCTTGGTGAGGCTGGAGGCTCAACCCAGAGCCACAGTGCAACCAGCATGTGAGCAGAAGCCGTGCTGTGCAGTGCATGCTTTGCCAGGCCCTGGCCTTGGGAGCTGCACTGCCCTCCTCACCAAGGCGGCCTTGATCTGTCTGTGCTGTGGCTGGGGTGGGTGGCACTGATTTGCCGAAGCCAGCATTCCCTCTTTGGAGCAGTGACTCTTCTCATGCAGACACAGTAGCAAGAAGAGCTACCAAGGCCAGAAGCAGGGTTAATCATGGGTGAGTAGCTCGCCTAGGGGTGTGCAGGCAGCCATTCCTAGATGCTGGCCAGATGCCTGCTTCCCTCATGCCAGTCCTGCCCTCAAGCACTGGCCAGCCCTTGGCTTGCTCTGGGGTGCCCAGGTGACTGAGGGGACAGCATGGTGAGCCCTCACTCAAGTCAGAGGTGCATTCAGCCCCTGTGGTGTACTCCGTAAGAGAGGCAGGCAGCTCCAGAGAATAGTTTGTCTGCCCTATTTCTGATGCTTGTCTCAGGAGGAGAATGAATCACCTTCCAGAGCTACTGGTTGCATCTTCCCTGATCCCAGTGGGAACAGAGGGTATCTTGCTGGGTCTGGTTCATCTAACCTTTATGTGCCTGAAATGAAGGCGATGGTGGCCATCCCGTCTGCCTTGGGGATGCTCACTCAGCATGGCTGGATGCTCTGACAGCACTGTGGGGCTGCATGGCTCCCTGTGGGATGGAATCTTCTCCTGGCTGCTGAGCAGGTTGCACACAACCCAGCTCCTCTCCTGGTGGGGTTTTTCATCATACAAGGCTATGATGGACTCAGGGGCAGGACAGCGGACAGGACGGAGCCATAATATGCAGTGTCACCAGTACCTATGTCCTTCTGGAACAGCAGAGCACAGAGCTCTGCATGCCTGCTCTGCTGCACAGGACACTGCTTCTCCCCTGGAACCCCACATGAGCAATCTCACCATCTTGGCTCTCTGCTTTCCCCAGGACCTGCCATTCTGCAGCAGGGAGTTCCATATGGGAGCCAAGCCGAACGCCAACCTCGACCAGGACCCAGCATTTTGGCTGGCCACATTCAGGTTTTTCCCTATAGCTAGACCAGGTAGGTAGATGTGTGAATCACTTCCCTGGATGCTCTCCAGGGGCCCTGTGATTTGGGGCTAATGACCCTCAGGTGCTCCCAAACCATTTCCCAAGATGCTGCTTTTGTTTGCAAACATGCAATATGCCCCTGCCTGGGTACCAAGCATTATTTCAGCGCTATAGTGCAGTGAGTGGACTGGATTGAGGCTTTGCAGGCATGTGAGGGTACCATCCTGGAGCTGAAGCAGTGTGGGTGGCAGATGCCGCTGCAGTAAGGGAGTATGCTGCTGCTCCGCTGTGGAGGGGATGGGCTGTCGCTGTCAGCAGCCTCCAAGCACACAGGCATGGAGTCCAGCATCAGACAGTGATGCATGCGTGACGGAGCAGACCCGAGAGCCCATGTGTCCTTGGGCTCTTCACCTCGCTCTTGCTCATTGCACCTTGCCTGTGCCAGCATGCAGTGGTATGAAGCATGAACAAAGCCCTGCTGCGTGGTGCCACATGTGAGGCCTGTGTCACCAATACGGCCCCATGTTTGCACCACATATGGCAGGTGCTGGCAGGAACTCCCCACACCACCTTGGCTGGTGGGGCAAAGTCCTTTTGTTACCCCGTTTATTACACAAGCTAATTGCTCCTGCTGGGTTCACTTTATTTAAGTGTCTTAATATTTCACCAAGTCTCTGTACTCGGTGATCCTTTGTGCCCCTCCGTCATGGAGTGCCTGCTGCCTCCTGCCACAGGCCTGACCCACTGTGCCTTTCATGGTGTTTGTATGTGAGGGCAACAGACCTTTGCATGCCAGGATCAACACTAGTCTGCAGTCCTTACAAAGTTTTTGGATGCTAGCCATGCCTTTGCCAGTTGGGTTGCTGTCGAAGCCAGGCACCTCTGCCAGCTGCCTCTGCAAGGCAGCAGTTAGGCAACAGCAGTGGGGAGAGCAGCCAGTGCTGTGAGCCCTGGCACAGCCTGAAAGCTGGCACAGCAGGTGCAGAAGAGGATGCCTTTGCCATCCTCCTTTGAAACAGCCCTGCACGGTGTGAAAACTACCCCTGTTGTACTGGAGGAAAAACACATTTCGTCAGCAGCAGCAGCAGTAGCAGCAGCCGCAGCTCTGCAGAAGTGCAGAGTCAAACAAGCTGGGGTGGTTTTTCTGGGGTGTGGTGGTGGGACCCAGCTTGGTTCGCAGCCCTGCTCTTCCAGGCAGGGGAATGCAGGGAATGCCGGTGAGGTAGAGAAGGATGGATGTTCCCAGAGCATGGCTGCAGGCTCTCCCACAGGAATCCGCTCCTTCTTTAACATGGTGACATAATACTTGCAGCAGTAGGGTGAGAGGAATTGGTCCCTGCCCCATCTTCTCCCTGTTGGGGCATTGCTTTATGGCCAAATGTGCTTGCACAGGTGCTTCTGCCATCACTCACCCTGCAAGGGGTAACAAGACCTTTCTGCTGGCTGAATGGGACTTGAATTGGTGTGTATAGAGGATGCTGGGCGGGGCAAATAGCAGAGGTGTGCAGCTCGTGCTGAGTGGCTGTGGGCCAGGACTATGCGGTCCATCATGGTGGGATGGAGCAGGGCTTGGTTCTGTAGATGACAGAGCTTGATTTTGCCATCACGGCTCTGATAAAGGATGCAGATATCACTCCTTCCCTGCCCCTGGGGCACTCAGCTGGACAGATCTTGTTGGTTCCAGTGTGCTGGAGAGGATGATGAGCCTTAATCACTCTGACTCCCCCTGATTGCTCTGGATTAGCTAGCTTAGCCCCAAAGCACTGCTATGCCATGCAGGCTGGCAGTGCCACCCCGGTGTGATGGATGCAGCCCAGGGAAGTTGTGTATGTGGGGGGACTGGCATCCTGGGGGAAGATGGAGGTGTGGGAGTAGCACAAAGCAGTGTGCCAGACAGGAATGCTGAGGCAGGCTGGAGTGGCTGGGGTAATGGCTGGACATGTGAGTCTCAACGGCAAGGCCAGGCATGTCTGATCCACTCTACTTCTAACAGCTACTGTAGGCTGGCCAGGAGGGGATTCCCCTGCAACAGTATTTCTGGAGCAGCAGGGCAGGAAGATTTGATATAGTATCCCATGGAGGCAGCCCAGATGCCACAAAAGCAACTCCCATCTGAGGCTGCCTTCCTAGTCCTGCTTGTTCTTTTTATGGGACACCCACAGACTTAATTCTGCCAAAAAAGCTCCAGTTCCAGCCAAAGTGTCCCTGTTTTGGACAGACTGTGAAGGCCATGTCAGCCTGACTATCTTTTTTAGAGGGTTTTTGGGCACTGCATATGTCTACATTACTGAGAGGTATTTCTCTAACACCCGTGGTGAGGAAGAGGACATGGATTTTGCAGGCCTGCAGCTGATAGTTGGGGACCCAAGGTGATCCTTCCCTCCAGGAGATGGTGTGGTCAGTCCAGCTCTTTGCACAGAGGGAGCACAACTGTATCCTCCTGCTGCATCCCCTGAGCCTGTGGCATGGCTCTGTGCTGTTCCCAAGGAGGAATGTGAACCAAGGTTGTGGTGTCACCTGGGTTCTTTGCCATGTTAAATGCCATTGTCCAGGTCTCCCATGCCATAAAGCTGTGCTGGGAGTTTTTAAAAATACTTTAAAGCAGCCCAAAACTGTTCCTGGGTACACAATCTACCTCCCC